GTACCCTCCCCTTTAATGGGACCCTCCCCTTTAATGGGACCCTCCCCTTTAATGGTACCCTCCCCTTTAATGGTACCCTCCCCTTTAATGGTACCCTCCCCTTTAATGGTACCCTCCCCTTTAATGGGACCCGCTTCCAGAACGAGAGACAGCACACACTAGATCACGACCGGCAAGTCGCGTGGCTGACCTAGTGACCGACCTACGGCCCCGACCTAGTGACCGACCTACGGCCCCGACCTAGTGACCGACCTACGGCCCCGACCTAGTGACCGACCTAGTGACCATGACCATTCTGACGACGGGGGGACATAGTCATACGGAACAAATTGGGCTGGTTGTGACTCGAGGACCGAACGGAGTGTCAAGGTGCACGGGTCCCGGTCGCACACCCTGACGGCTCAACACACCGGCCCTGTCGGGTCGATGTTAGAACTACACCCGTCCGGGCTCCGGCTTACCGCTCGCGTTATCCGTGTCTGCCTGCACCACCACCACGGCATCACAGCTCGCTGAAGCGCAGCTCCATACGGCCGTCCAGCTTCCTCGGGTACCTCTGGTCGGGTACCTCTGACCCTTCATCTCCCAATTCGCTGCCGAACCTTCGCACGTCATAGATACGGATGTGCCTCAGTTGGGTCCTACAGATATGGGATGAATTATGAAGCAGGGTGAACAGACTGATGGAGGAGGACCTCATGGCGGCGGCGCACCTTCATGCGGGCCTGGCAGGGTGTTCGTAAACGGTGGCGTCATACGGCTTCAGGAAGGGTGTACGTTCCCGAGACGCTCCGCACATGCGTCATATTGCTACTCCACTACGGCCATGTTGGAGCGGCCATGTTGGAGCGGCCATGTTGGAGCGGCCATGTTGGAGCGGCCATGTTGGAGCGGCCATGTTGGGGGGCATAAAATTGGGAAGCGTGTGGCCAGTCTGTTGAGGTCGTTACCAAGTGGCTTGGATGCAAGCACCTGACGACGGCGACGTACCGGCCGCGGCGAAATGAAGCCTCTCACTACGCCATACGAACAGGCATTGCTGCTCTGTGGCAGGAGCGGAATCCCCCTCACATGGTGGCAGCCGTCGTGAGGACACACTGCCTGTCGTGACGACACCCTGCGTGTCGTGAGGACACACGGGCCGGCCGCTGGAGGCCGCGGAGCTGCGCGTAGGAGTCACGGTGGTTGCAGTGATACAACCAGTGTAGCGAGCCGTGGGGGCGTGCGTGTTGAGACGGCAGAGACACGAACGGCTCGTACGGGTTGAATGATTTTTGAACTGACGTTGGACCACGGACTCTAGCTCGAGCAGGCCCAGTGGGCGAGACCGGCTCGTCGGGCCGGCCGGCAAAGACGTAAATGGCTCGCCTCGTTAGGTCGCACCGAGGGCGAGGTTTTTAAAGAATAGAGACGACACGATTACGACCGGCGAATACGACATGAGCAGCAGCAAGGAGAGCTCGGACGGGACCACCTCCGACGAGTGGGACCAGATGGCGCCCACCACGAGGACAGCACATGGACTGGTGTATCGGCTACCGGGACTGGTGTATCGGCTACCGGGATGTGCCGAGGTTTCCGCCGTCGGTAGATAAGGTGGGTGGGCTCGAGAGAGCGAAAGGAGTGCAGGGAGAACCTTTACCGTGGGCAACTCGTTGGTTGAGGACGACGACGAGGAAGAGACGGGGCACACACATGGGTGGCACACTACCCGCGACGTTGTGGAGGTTGCTGGTGGGCTACAGAGATTGCTGGTGGGAGTCGCCGAAGGTGGCGCCGGCTCGGTACGAGGCTCGGTACGAGGCTCGGTACGAGGCTCGGTACGAGGCTCGGTTCACAGTGAGAGGGCGGCCCTACAAGGCAAGGATGAGGCACCTGGAACCATGGTTGCGTGGAGAGCTGGAGGTGCAGGTGAGGAAGCAGTTGGAGATGGGAGTAATCCGGCCGTCCAAGAGCGAGTGGGCCGCAGCACCGCACTTCGTAAAGAAGAAGATGGGAGAGTGGCGATGTGTGCTAGACTATCGGCGCTTGAACGAGTCAATGGTTGCGGACTCCTATCCGATTTCGAGTATCTGGGTTCACCTAAGGACTGCGGCGGGCCATCGTATTTACTGTACGCTTGACATGTCGTCAGCGTTCTGGAATGTACCCATCGCTGAGGAGAGTAAGCATCTTACTGCGTTCGTCACGCCATTTGGGCTTTTCGAGTTTGAGCGCAATGGACGCGTCTTTCGAGGAGGTGCTGGACATTAGCACGCTCTGTTACATTGACGATATTGTCGCAGCGATGGACGCCGAAGCCGGGATGCTAGAGAGGATAGAAAAGATCTTGCGGTTGTGCAGGGCGAACTGATTTTACCTGAGACTCGATAAGAGTGAACGGTTTAAGAGTGAGGTACCCGGGGCACGTCATTGGCAAGGACGGCGTGGGGTGTCAGGCGAAGAACGCTGAGGCCTGCAGAGCCAAGGGGGGCGTGAGGTGCAACTCCAGTTTGCGTCCAAGAAGTTCACCGCTGCCGAATGTAAGCGGGATGCCCGTGAAAGAGAGCTCTTTGCTGGTCAAGTGGGCTATAGACAAGTAGACGGGCTATCGACAAGTGGGCTATAGACAAGTGGGCTGACTACGTCGCTCTTGCTCATTTCAGAGGACGGATGATCTCCGCTCCCTGACAGGTGTGGACAAAGGGAAAGTGTTTTCAATAGGCCTTGGCGCTCAGCCGGTTCACCTTTAGTTCGTGTCCGGAGAGTGAAACTGCATGGCGGACTGGTTGTCGCACTACGCCGCAGGAGACGCGGGCGATGACGCACTCAGGGCGGGGTTTTTAAAGAATAGAGACGACACGATTACGACCGCCGAATGCGATATGAGCAGGAGAGTTCAAGCTCGAGAATGTCAGACGGGAGCACCTCCGACGAGCGAGACCGGACAGTCGGCATTCATCACGAGGAGACACGGTGTCGGGATACGGTGTCTCAGTACTTGACTTACGACCAAGGTGCTTACGACCAAGGTGACCTGGGGCTTGCGACCCATGACAGGTGTGTTGTCTTTGGGGCAAACATACATGCGGTGAAGACCTACGTCGTGTGTGACCAAACCGAGTTTTTGAGACACGTCATTACCCCCAGCGCGCACCCTTGTTGATATGTGTGGTCAAGCGTCTGATTGGGCAAAGCTCGGGAACCGACTTAGGGGCATTATGCCGGCACGTTTTGTAGACCGGGTGGGTATGGAGGGTTACACGGATGGCCAGCGTGCCCAACTCTACATTGCACGTGTCGACCTTATAACTGAGTTGGGGTGGTGTTTGTTCCGAGACGGCGCCGAGTATGATGACGCCCATGACGTACCTCAGTGAGTGTACGACTCCACCAGTGCGGTCCCTGAGGCCGGTTTGTTTGGGCTCGTACGCAATACGTCACGCTACCTTTCTCGCATATTCCAAAGCACGATCCGCGAGGTTGAGAAAGGCTATTCGATCATGAATGTTAATACGACCCAAAGTAGGGCTGTGCTCAGGACCCCGAGCACCAAAACAATTTACCCCCGTCCGAGTGACACCTTAAGGCGCTTAAGACCAAGGCGCTTAAGACCAAGGCGCTTAAGACCGAGATGGTCGGTGTGCGCTGGCGTAGTGTCGGAGGACGGAGTGTCGTTGTGGCGTTCCAATTGACTTTTTGTGGTCTGAAAGAGTTCGTAACGGAGAGTCGATTGGATGGCCACAAAGACTCTCGGTACTCCAATAGTTCGTCATCGACAAAGGCCGAGAACCGTGGCCTGTCCGAGGAAGAGGTGTGGCAAAGCTATTTGAGTTGACTACGCAATTGAAGTGACTATCCGTAACGGGGAGGATCTGTGTTCTGGACTGAGGATGAAGACATGACGGTTTAAACAAAAAGACGGAGTACAGTGGAAAACGTCGACCGGGCTCACAGAAAAAACGTCGACCGGGCTCACAGAAAAAACGTCGACCGGGCTCACAGGAGGACCCGACTCGTATATCCACCTAACTCACCCGGTTCACTCACCCACCTACCTAACATTGTGTGTCGCTACGGGTGTGCCGGCCCAGCAGCCGGGTGCCCCTGACAGTGAGGGTTCTCGTCGTCGTCGTCGAGGTGCTCACTGGTTGCTGGCATCGGGTGGTCACTGTTAGTCACGTTCTCCCTCTAAAAACCCTTTTTATTCACCCTCACCTGTTACGTGCGGACATGTTCTGTCCTGCGGCATCCCGGACAGCACCGCATGGTTGGCGTCCCACGGAGGCTTACGACGGCTCACATTGCACTGACTGACTTCGGATGTGGTGGGCTCTTGGTTGCTATGGCGAGCCAACACTGAAATCACTATTTTCCAACCGCGGAGAACCCAGGAAAGATCATCGGCGAGGGGGCGCTTTGGCCTCTTTCACAAACAACTCATTCAGACGGCAAGAGAGCAAATTTTCCAGGGGTGAAAATGAGGACTTTGGTTAGTGTGCCGAGTAAGCAGATGTTGTGGGAGGTGTTCGCGGTGCTGGTGAGTAACAACCCGTTTGAGGAGCATTTGCTCGAGGAGGACTCCGAGTTGGTGAGTAACAACCCGTTCGAGGATGACCCGTTCGAGGCTAACCCGTTCGAGCAGGACGCGGAGTGTGAGTGGGGCAAGTCATCGCCGCCCAGGTTGCAATCGGTGAGTGCGGAAGACCAGTTGGAGTGTTTAAGAGTGCGGAGCAGCAAGTGGGAAGAGATGCTGGCGCCTGAAAAGTTGGTGCAAGGACTACTGAAGTGTCGCAGGAACCCCGCGTTGTTGCGAAGCCGGGACCCGGAGAGTTTCGGGAAACGACTGGCAATGTTTGGTCTGGTAGCAGCAAGTTTCTCCTTGGCGACATATTTGCTTGTCGATTACTTATTACCTGATAGCGAGAATGCGACGATGTCCCGAGGTTTTGCCAGTCACTTCTGCACGCAATATGGCAATAAGACCGGCAACTTCACCTTCACGGAGCAGTTCTTGCCCGATGTATGTCAAGGCGGTTCGGGGGGTCTGTTGTGTGCGTACAAGGATGCTGGAGACACGTTAACTGACCAGCGCGTAGGCTGCCATGTCTTCAAAGACAAACAGCTCATGCTCCGCCTTTGGAGTCGCCTCACGCAACAACCAGACGCTGTAGGTTGCCACACCTATTGCGACCGACCAGGTGAGGACGAGATCTACAATGAGCGAGTGTGGTTCCACCATGACCAAGTTTCCTTCCATCAGCTCATCCGAGACGTGGTGGCGGAGGTTTTTCCACGCCACCTAGACCCACGTTGCTCCGGTATGGTGACACCGTTCGACTTGGCGGGGCTTCGCAAATTAGAAAAATGCTTCTGTAGTCTGGCCTCCGTCAGCTGCCAGGTCTCCTCTGCAAACAACTTCTCTTCTACAAACAACTTCTCCTCTACAAACAACTTCTCCTCTACAAACGGCTTCCGCACACACGTGCTCGACTTGATCACCGACGCCGCCACCTCGACCTCTCGTCTCGTTGGCGCCTGCACACACCTCTGCTACCAAGCCCTGCAGGCGGCAAATACAGACACTGACTAATAATCGCATACGCAGGTCTATGACACCAGCGGGCAAGATTTTGTTTTGGAGTAATTAAAAATGCGTGGGTTGAAAGGCGGAATGAGTGGCGTGCCGGGTAGCGAGTTGTTGTCGGCGTTGTTAAACCCAGATGGGAACAAGCCGAAGTTGGACGACTGTGTGGCGCAGGTGGCGACGATAGTAATTGGTGATAGCAGCGTGATGGCTGTGATGTTGGCGCCGAGCAGCTCGTTCTCTCCTTTCTGGAACGGCGCGTGGGACCAGTGGAGCCGGATGATGGTATGGCGGCCGGCGTGGATGAAGCCTAACGGGCGTGCAGAGGCAACAATGCTATCTGCGGTAATACGAGAGCTTAAGTATTGCGGGTGTGCGTGGGAGGCGATTGTCTCGGTGTGTGGTGAGATCTTTGGCGACGAGGTGGACGGGTTGTTGGGTCTCTTGAGCCAGGAAAAGGAGACGGGCGAGAAGGTCACCCGCAACAAAATCTCCCGCGTCATAACCCGGCCGATAGAGGCTTCCGAATTCGAGGAAATCTGGGCGCTGGTGCCCGAGGAATGGAGGCCCGTGCTGGAACGAAGAGCGAACTGGGAAATCCCGAAATGGCGGGACGTGGAGAACGCGCGGATGGGCCCGCCTCGAGTCGCGGGATGATTTCTTGAGGCTTTGATTTGTTGGCCGTGTGTCACGACCCCTTCTGGCTCCTAACCCCGGCCGGGAACGACCACCGGGACGAGACGAGACGCGGCGAAGCACGCACGTGGTACCGAGTTTTTGACCTGGTGTAATACGCTTGCTGCATCTTGACTCGGATGTGGGTGGGAAAGCCCCCCCAACACGTTAGCAGTGTTCCATTTGAAGGGCGTGCGGAGTTGGCTGTGGTTGAGGCCCGGAGGCGAAGGTCTACAATTGCCAGGGGTTAGTGACCGGGGGCGGCCGTGCGCTCGGGCCACGTGGCCGGTGTCTCATACTGTGACTGGGGGTCGAACACATTTCCCGCCGAGCAAGAGACGTCGATGATAGGGGCGTATGCCCCACGCGAATCACTGTGTTGGAGTAGAGTGCGGACCCAGGTTGTGCGGGTCCCAGGTTGTGCGGGTCAAGAGGGAGAGCGGCACGGGTGAAGATGAGCCAACAGGCAAAAGGACAGAAGCGAAAGGACCGACGGCGTCAAGTCATTGCTGTGTAGAGACCCAAGACGATGACAGCTATTGGATATCCGCTGTGCAGAGACGCGAATTGAAGAGAAACCGTGGCGGGCGGTGTCGCGAGGATGAAGTCCCTCGTAGTTGATGCTGTTGGCTGTCCGATCAGATATGTGGAGATGGTCTGTGGTGGATAAGGAATGTGTGCATGTCAGTAGTTTGTGCAAGAGCAGGCGGTCCTGAACCGGTGTGTGAGGAAGACGGCAGAGTAGGGGACGTGCACAGACCGTGAGGCCGCTAAAAGGGCGGGGCGGTAGAGAGCGGGGCGGGAGAGAGCGGGGCTGCAAAATTTTTGGCGGAAGAAAAAGTGATGAGGACGTTGGAGAGTGCGCCGTCGAGAAAAAGGCGGGGACTGTTCGCGGTGGTGGTGAGTGGTGGCGAGTTGGGTGGTGCCGAGGGGGTGGAGATGACAGAGTTATCAGTGGCGTTGCGATCCTGGGAAACACCAAACGAGGAGGTATTTTGGGACGAGGGGGCGGAGTTGGAATGGGGCGCTGAGGCGTTGGAATTGGAGAAGAGTTCGGGACGGAGTTTAGCGCGAGTTGATGGGGGAAAAAAACCAAGTGGAAGAGATCACGAACTAGCGGAAGGGAAGTTGAAGAGACTGTGTAAGGGGATGACGTTCGTCGGTTTAGCTTTTGGTTTGGTGACGACGGGGTACCTAGTTGCGGCTGTGTTTGCAACGCCTGAGATGGGTCATCCGACGGAAGTGTGTACACAGTGGGGTAACAAGACAGGTAACTTTACTTTCACGATACAGACACTGCCTGATGTGTGTCATGGTGGTTCTGGAGGTCTTGTATGTGCCCATGATGCGGTTGACATGCGTATGGGTTGCCACGTCTTCGGAGACCGGCATGCGATGCTGTCGCTTTGGAAACGTCTGACGAAGCGGCCAGATGTGATAGGTTGCCAAATCTATTGCGGCAAACTACTGAACGTCGCCACACATCCCACTTATCAACACTCGGATGAAAGCTTCAACGACCTGGCCAGAGAGGTGGCCAGGGAGGTCTTTCCGCGACTCCGAGACCCCGACTGCTCCTTCCAGCGACTTGGAACACCCAACTCGTCCCAACCAGAGGAGGATGTTTCTGAACGCCTCAAACTACAGGACTGCTTTTGCGAATTCGCTTCCGCAAGCTGTCAGACCTCTGCGGACGGAGTTGAATACGCAGAGTCCACGCAAGCCTTCCGCACACGTGTGCTCGATCTTCTTAACGAACACAATCAAGGCAACTGCACGTACCTCTGCTACAAAGCACCCCACAGATAGCTACAACGAGTTTTCGATCGCGAATACAAGACTTGTTGAACACGAAATTAAATGGACACATGATCGGCCCGAGAATGAGCCACACGGCTGCAAACTAGAGGACTGGAGTTTCGGTCGACCGAGTCGGAGGCGCCGGGAGTAAGTGCGTCCAGGCCACCGGTTCGAAACTCGGCGTTGGATTTGGTGGCTTTGTAATGTAGTGTGGTGTTTGCAAAATTTTTGGCGGCAGAAAAAGCAATGAGGACCTTGCAGAGCGCGCAGTGGAGAAACGCGCAGCTCGTGCGGGGTCTGTTCGCGGTGGTAGTGAGCGGTGCCAAGTTTGAGATGGAGATGACGGAGTTGAGGTCCTCGGAAACGTCGAGCGCGAACGAGCAGGATAGGTTAATGGAAGAGGGGGTGATGGAAGAGGGGTTGGTGGAGCGGGAGACGCGATTGCTGGGGGGGCTGTTTGCGGAGTCGCAGTGGTATGTGGACGAGGATGTGGAAGAGCCGCAGTTTACGTTGGGTGAGACGAACTGGCGTGAGCAGGAGCCGTTTGCGGTGATGGTGCAGTGGCTAGCGGCGCTTGATAAGAGCGGGGTGGCTGCGTCGGATTCGGATGATAGGGTTTCGGTGGAGTGGTCGGGCAGTAAGTTGTCGGAATGGAGCTTGGAGATGGCAAAGAGGCGGAAGCGGTTCCACAAAATGTTGACGGTGACTTTTACAGCTGTGGGCGTACTAGTGGGAGGGTTGTATATTTGGGATATGTTCACCGGGCCTACCCCATAAACGTGTGTGTGCGTAATTCGCCGTCAAAAAATGGTCACAGCTCGATCCAAAGCCGCGTGCGCGCCAGATCGGCGTTGAACGCGGGTATGGATGCTGTCAAGTCGTCACACTCCGCGACGTCTCCGAGTTACTGAATGCTAGGGCCGACGCGACGGCGCTGAAAGTAGTGTCATGCAGCTCAGAACAACTAAAGGTCGCGTCCTCGAGCGCTGCAGGGTCGAGCGCGACCTCCGTGAGTGCAACATCGTTCAATTCCGTGTGCTGGCCCGCCACATCATTGACCAGAACACCATCGAGCACAATGTCGTCGGGTGTACACTCGCAAGCTGTTGCCCCCCGGTTCGAGCTGTGGGGCTGGTCAGCATGTAGATAGGGCGCGGTTCAGTCTTCGGGGCCGCAAGCAGACGGATCGGTGCATGACCAAGTGCGGCCCGGGAGAAGAAGGGGGCACGCGTGCCGAACGCGTACGTTCGACCAACGGTGCGAGAAGTAAGAAACCGTCCACGGCCAAGGTCGCCTCCAAATCCAACGCCGAGTTTCGAACCGGTGACCTAGACGCATTTATTCCCGGCGCCTCCAGCCGGCACTGCAGCGGCGCCAGCAACTTCGCCCACGCTGAGGACACCGGCAGCGACGGAGGCCCGGGGTGAGCAGGCTCAACCGGCAGGGGCAAAGCGGGGTCCGTAACGTCAGGATCCATCGAGTCCAACTTCTCGAGGCCGGCGTCGGGATCCAGGTTGGGGTCGGCGCCGGGGCCGGGGTCCGGGTCCATAAGAGCGGGGCAGGATTCGAGCCTGAGGCCGTCGGGTTTCGGGAGTTGGGCAAAGTCTCTCAGAGTGAGTGTGGCGTGGCCGAGACGCGGCTTCACTTAGTTCAGCACGAGTCGCACGGTTCACAGACCCGAACGGTTGAGAGATGAAAGCAGCCACGATGGCAGCGAGTTCGAGATAGTCCTCGCGACACTCTGTGAAGTCCGCCAGTGTGATACGACATAACGCTCTTTGCACACTTGTAGGCAGCAAACCACGGATCGTCTCACGCGCAGTTGAATCATTAATAAACGTCCCATACACCAATGCTAGTGCAGTCATCCGACTTTGTGTAGGTGTGTACACCAACTCCTTTGGACCGCAGTGGGGGGGTGGGAGGTACGGAAGTGGGAGGTGTGGTGGAGGAGCGGTGGCCTTGATCGTCTCAGTCTTAGTCGTCATGTCGGTCTGTTCCGTACGTGGCTCGAAATTTTCTGCTTCGCGCATGTATTGAAGGGAGGCAAACCTGTGGGCAGAGACGGTGTCCAAAGTTCGTTGATAGGGCAAGCCTGACTTCGTGCGCAGTGTGTCTGCGGTTGCGAATGACGCCGGCGGTGTTCCCCTGGAGGGGGTGGATTGTCGCCCATTCGGTCACGACTTTGCAATTTCTCGGGATCGAGTCCTTGATCGGAATTGAACCCGCGACGATCGGATTGGGAGTCTAGCGCCAGGAGCACACCGGCGGCGACATCCATTCCGCCATCAGCATTCTCTTCGAGGGCGTGTTGGAGGAGACAGCCGGCGAGCCAGTGTCGCACTTTACGTGGGCTTGGGATGACACGCGAGCGTTCGGTCGACCGTGCCAAATGGCGCAGGGAGGAAGAGCGCCAAGACGGCGGCGAGTTCGACGAAGTGGAACCCGCAACAGAGAAAATGGCGCGGTCTGATACCGCGCAGTCGTTGCCAAGCTGCGGCTGGGAGTGCGTCCAGGCCGCCGATTCGAATCCCGGCAATGCCATCGCGCGCCGAAATAACCCCAACCGAGAGAAATGCGGCCCCATCTCGCACCAATCACCTCGTACTCCGCAGGCGCCAACGGCGAAAAAAAACTAAACTCACCGATCACCCGAACTGCACGCCGGGCCCAACGCCGAGCCCGGGTCCAAGGCTGGTACTCATCGCTGCTTGACAGTTCTTCACCTGACGAAGAGAACGCGAGTCTGGAGCCAGCGATCACGGGTTCGAGGAACGATGAGGCGGAACACGATTTCGGCCGAGTTGGGTCTGCCAGGCGTGGTAGATAAGACGCCGCAGAGACCCGGCGGATGGGCGACGGCGGATGGGCGACGAAGGTATGACCGTTATAGTGGAGAGGAGGGTTCCCCTCCCCGGCGTACGCTTCGACGAAATCTTCCTTGGTTGGGGGCGCCCACACTGCTGGTTGGGCGCTTCAAATCGACCGTCCGCCTGTTGGCTTCTTCGCTATCATAAACGTGTGATTTGAGTATAAAACAACCGTTCAGTTTCGATCTGTTCTACTGGCTTACCGCCATGGTCAACGTAGTCCAACAAGTTGTGCTGGTCACGAAGCAGCTCATCAAGAATGCACCGGCATTCCTCTCCAAAGATTCTGGTCAGATCCCCAAAGGTCAATGACGCGCAATTCGCATCCAAGGGAATGACCTGCGACTGTGACACTCGTTGTATCACCCAATAATGACATCGAGCCCAGGGTAATCCTAACTCTCGTGCCACACTCCGCATATCATTTGTCAAGACGTCCTCTCGGATACCTCTGTCACGATTCTTTATCTGGACGAAAATTGCCGCCATGTTCTGGGGTGCTACGACGTCCTTGGCCACTAAAAGGGGCAACACGATATCGTAGGCTCGTTG